CTCACCACTGTCATCATGAAACGAAAAGAAATGTAAAAGGAAAAAGGCTGGGGTAGTTGCTGCCAGAGTCACAGTGGATGACTCTGCTTAGTGCTTAACTATTTTAAAAAGCCTCTAAAAAAAGTGCCCTCTGCAGAAGGAGGTGAGAGAACCATGTGCCTCCTTTATCTTTATGATCACTTGAGCAGAGTTAAGCAAGGGTTAAAAGCTGAAAAATTCCTTATGTAGAGGAGGCATGTGGTTCTCTCGCCTCCTCCTGCAGAGGGCACTTTTTTTAGAGGCTTTTTAAAACAGTTAAGCACTAAGCAGAGTCATCCACTGTGACTCTGGCAGCAACTACCTCAGCCTTTTTCCTTTTACATTTTTTTTCTTTTCATGATGACAGTGGTGAGGCCCTGCCTCCCCTGACTGCACGTCACTGTTCAATATGTTTCATATATTGCAAACTAAATGAAAGAATGAGTTGCAGTAACTGCAAGAGTTGCTTTCCATGAAAGGGCTTTCATTATGTATAAAATAATCCTGAAAGTTGAACATTCTGTGTAATTTCTTTGAGTCCCAAAGCTTTTCGGTACTAACAGCCTTCTTTCCATTAACAGCTCAGGCAGGTTTTCAGGTATCTAAATAATCTTCTTTTTTTTAAAAAAATGAGTGAATAAATATGCTGAAAAATTAAATGAAGATTAAAAACTCAGGTAATAAGCCTTCTTGGGTTTACATCTCAAATCTCCTTGATAGATAAATCTCAGTGGGAAATTCTATAGGTCTCCTTATGTAAGCTTATGGGAGTTGGAAAGTGCCGTTTAGGTCACTGCATCCGCTTCCTTTTTTGGAACAGGAATCCAGATTAAACGTCCAACTAGATGGCTATCACAGCTCCAGTGACCAGGGTGGAGGCCAGGTCCTGTATAACTGGCTCCTTTGCTGAATCACAAAATTTATTCCTTTGGTTTTAATTGCTGCTAAGATAAAAGCAGTCAAGATACTGAACATTGGTTGTGCCAAACGTAGTGCTTGAGACAAATGTTTCCCAAGGAAGCAGTACATTTGGTTATTTTTGTACCCATTCAGGATACTGTTTCCTCTCAAGGCACTCATCAAGTAAAGCCAGTTTTCTGCTTCTTAATCACATGGTGTCTAGTAGCTTTAGCACTTACATGTCTGAATGCTGTGTCATTATGGAGACCTACATACAGAAGGGTGCGTCCAATTCTTTTGAAGTTTTTGTTGATAGTGAAATTTAAGGCAAATATGTGTTAATCTACTTAGTTCTGTGGGGGTTTAGGGCTCTCTAAGCTTATTTTTATTCTTAGAGATTATCAGACCAGGTAACATGTTAATGAAATGCCTGCAAGAAAAAAAACCAAGGACAGACAACATCAAGAAGCAGGCAAACTCTGAAATACATAAAGTATATTTTCACTATTGCAACAATCTATTTTTGTCTGATGATGACTAACACTGGCAAATTTTTATCCTCTTGCATTTAATTTATGGCTGTCTATATGTGAAAAGCATTTCCAATTTTAGAATATAGAAAATGGCCACAACAAGCCTCAACTTCTTCTCTTCTCAATTCAGGCTATCAGAATTAGTCTGATAATGAATCCTTCACCAGAAAACTGGAAGAAGCCAGTTTTTCAGAGATTTTGACCTTTCCATCATACACAACTCGGTTCAAAATCCACTATAAATGTAATGCATCTGATCACACAAATACACCATTGGGATTAAATGGAATAAGATGTGTTAAAAACAACCACACTTGAAACACTCATGATCCCTCTTGACACTTTTGCACCAACACATTTCATTCACCCAGTTTCACATCAGACCCTCAGATCTTAGGTCACAAGAATCTTTACCATATTTGTTAGCAACGCCAGGCAGCAACCCATCCACCCCTTCCAACTAGCTGAGAAATTACAAAAAGTGGCTTGCCCTCTGCCTTTGCATTGCCACACTTGTTCTTTTGGGATGAAACAAAAACAAAAAACACCATAATATATCTGACAGCCCAATCCCAAAACTTAATATGAGGACAGCTTGCCAATTAGTGGGATGAAAAAATGAGGAAAGGGGGAGGTTGGGAGGTTGGAAAGAGGTTGGGGAAACCAATCCTCTACCTTAAGGGGCTCAGCCTGTCAAATGTCAAAATTGTTCTGCCATTTTAAAATTTTGGAAATCCAGCCAGAACTTAGTTTAAGTTTGGCTTTGAAGCAGAAATGCAAATAAGATATCACAGGAACCCTGGAACCATGTGTGTGAGTGTGGTGGGTATAGGTGTGGATTTGTGTACACCCTACCTACCTACACACACACACACACACATGCAATAGTACAAACTGCAGATCTCCTATTCTTGGAGGCAGAAATGGAGACTACCATAAGAAAGGACAGAGCCAATAGAGTGTAGAAGCTAAAATGCTAGAGTCTGATTGTACTGTGAGGGGCAGGGTGGCGCAGTGGTTAAATGCAGCACTGCAGGCTACTGCTAGATCAGCAGTTCAGCGATTCAAATCTCACCGGCTCAGGGTTGACTCAGCCTTCCATCCTTCCGAGGTGGGTAAAATGAGGACCCAGATTGTTGGGGGCAATATGCTGACTCTCTGTAAACCGCTTAGAGAGGGCTGAAAGCCCTATGAAGCGGTATATAAGTCTACTGCTATTGCTATTGCTATTGTGCTAAGAGAATAAGCCATTTTGACCTAAGGGTTTTTGGTGGTGGTGGGAATTAATAATATCCAAGACTGTTTCTGGAATATGGTTGGACTAGTATAAGAAAAGTATAAATGTTGATTTTGCTGTCATGGTTAACCTTCAGAATCCTGAAATCTTTAACCTCACTTAACTCCATGATTGCACATAATAACAGTCCAACCTGTTCTTGTAGTCTCAACAATTTACTTTGCAGCAGGACAGAAAACTAAGGCGCTCTCTTCCTTCCTACTGTGATGATTCAGCTTTTTGGCTGAGCAGCTACTCCCTGCTCCATTAGCAGAAGCACTCTTCCATTTAAAATTGTACAGTCAAATTATAAGAACAACTGCTTCCAAATCACTTACATATGACAGTTAGATGGAAATGGCTGCCAATTTGTGTACTGGAGTTATTTTTATTTTCTATCACTTTGAGGAGGAACAAATGCCATAGGTAAACAAAGGTGAAGTAGAGATGGAAACTCAACAGTATTTAAAAGTCTAATATGATGAGAAAATATGGGAATGTGTAACAATGATGGGTTTCAAATTTTTTTTAGAACCTATTCTGTGGGTGTGGCCTATTTTGTGGGCATGGCTTGGCAGTCATGTGACCCTGCCGGTATGGACTTGACATCACTCATGCACACTCAGTCACATGACCACCACCCCTAAGCCATGTGGCAAAAAAGTTGGGACTCCTCTGAAGGAGGGGGGGAAGAGAGGGGAAAACCTTCCAAAAATAGACAACTGGAGGATTAAGGGAGATCAGAGAAGGCAGGACAGAGGGGAATCCAGTAGAAAGCTGTCACATGCTGGGGAAACAACTTTGGTAGATCGGAGGAGGCAGGACAGAGGGGAATCCAGTAGAAAGATCTGGGGAAAAAACTTTGGGAGATTAGAGGCCGCAAGATAGAGGGGAATCCAGGAAAAAGCTATCACATGCTGGGAAAAGAACTTTGGGAGATCTGAAAAGGCAGGAGAGAGGGGAATCCAGTAGAAAGCTATCACACGCTGGGGAAACAACTTTGGTTGATCGGAGGAGGCAGGAGAGAGGGGAATCCAGTAGAAAGATCTGGGGAAAGAACTTTGGGAGATTAGAGGCAGCAAGACAGAGGGGAATCCAGGAAAAAGCTATCACACGCTGGGAAAAGAACTTTGGGAGATGGGAGGATGCAGGACAGAGAGGAATCCAGGAGAAAACCCCTGAGCTTGTAGCTGCTGTCTGGTGGATTGTGCCGCTAGACCTCTCCATGCTTCTCCGTTCACCACCTCCACTCCCAGGTATGGGACTTGACACCGAATTGGGCTAGGATAGTGTGGATGGGCGCGGGGAGCGAGCAATGGAGCTGCTTCCGGACGGGTGGGGGTGAGCGAGCGAGCAACAGGGCCGGGGCAGGCATTCCGGAAGTTACTTCCAGGTCCATCGGTTGAACCTCCTCTCACCGGATCGGTAAATTTCACCATCCGGTTTTCCCAAGCCGGTGCAAAAACCCACCACTGATGTGCGATCTTGGCTGGTTCATCTTGTATAAGCAGCTGGTTGCTTGTACTATAATCCACACTTATATTTCATGCTAAAGTAGATTGTTAATTGTGTCTTTTCAGTGACCAGCTTTGTACGATTATAAAACACAGAAGGATGCAGCCATCATTATGTTTTTTTACACAAATGTTTAGCTCATTCTGTTACCAATGTTGGCATCTAGATATAATAGTAGTCTCATACCAATAAAATGAACCATGTAAGTTTGATGTTAATTGAACTGCATATACAGGGAGGGAGGGAAGGAAGGAAAAGAAAGGAAAGGAAGGGAAGATAAAGAAAAAGAAAGAAAGAAAGAAAGAAAGAAAGAAAGAAAGAAAGAAAGAAAGAAAGAAAGGTTTTCAACTTTCTTTACAGCAGTTGTAAGAATAAATTTATTCCTTGTTCTATGGTTACAGCATGACTCATTTTAAATAACCTTATTTTCTGATCATCAAAAATATATGTTCATTTTCTTCTATTTCATGTAAAAAAAATCTAGGGTTTCCAGTTAGCAATATATATTGACAATGAATTTTCTCTGATCAAAAATCTTCCACCATTCCAAATATCCTCTCTTTAAAATAAACACCATGACTGCAACAAAGATTAAAAACTGGAATTGGGACTCTTGCCTCTATTTCCATGATGCTTTGTTTTTTCTATATTTTATCTACAGGTTATCCTGATGGTTTAATGCTATGAAAGGCTTCCACTGTGCTGCAGCTCAATGATTTCTTACAGTCTTTCAGCCATATCATGCTAAGATACCTTTGAGCCACAGCATGGCAAGCAGCCCTTATGGCATGGCTTGCTGCCCCATAAAACAGGGTGTAGAATGGTCAAAAGAGCAGAGATAGGAGGTAGATAGGTATGCGGGGAAGTTGAATTGGAGGCAGTCCCTTATGCTATCAAGGCTTGGGACTAGAATAGTGTCATGCCTAGAGTGGCTGGGTCCTCAGCTAATGATCAATAGAAGTCAGTTAACGAGAGCAACAAGGTGTGCCAAGAATGTCATTGCTCAGTTATGTTGTCACATGATATTGCACTTTATAGTCACATCACTTAGCGACATAAATTCCGGCCCTAATTATGGTCATAAATCAATGACTTTCTGTACAGATTTTTTCCCTCTAATGACTGCATGATATTTTCTTCCCATAATAACCTACCTTATCTCTCTAAATTTGGAGTCAGGATTAAATATTCATGAAATTCATTCATTCAACAAGTACGATTTTATCTCCCAAAAGTCTCTCCTCACCAATACATTCTTGGTAGCAATATTTTATAAAAAGCAGCACTGATATATTAGTAATAGATTCTGTCTTTTGGAGAACTAAGACAAAGGGAATTGTTATTTGCCCAGCCTAAATTGTTTCTTTGCTTGCTTATACTTGGATTTATATGCCAGTCTAATCCACAAAAACAGACCATAAGACACCCTCCAGTAAGGCAGTTAATAAGAGTACATCAAAATGACAAAAGAAAGGGCAAACCAACAACTGACAATTGCAATACACTCTGCCCCAAAGGGATAAATGTACATGGACAAATCTTGTCGCAGAGGGCTTCTCTCTGCCCAACAGTTCCTCACTGCAAACTAACACTGGGCTAACAAGGAAGGAACTGATCTAAATTGGGGGAAGAGGAAAGGATGCCATTTGGACTCTTTTCTTATCCTTTATTTAAGAATATGTCACCTGCAGAGATCCCAGAGAGCAGCCTGCTCAGGAGCATCCCCACGTCTTTAGAGTGCACACAGGTGGGGATAAGTGGGGATGCTGCCAAGAAGGCTGTTCTCTGGGATCCCTAAATAAAGGATGGGAAGGGAGTCCATTCTTCCAGTTCTTTTGCATGGGCAAAACCCAATGGATGTAGGAAGTCTTGATGATATTTAGGTCCCGAGCTTGTTGTTGTTGTCAACTTTCTCATGGCACATGGAGCCGTGTCGCCTGGCACAAGCGGCATTGCCCATTCCTCTTTCGGGTTTCTGGCCTGCATGTGCGCATGACGATCAGATAGCCTTCGTGCATGCAGCAGTGCCAGAAACTGGAAGAGCTGGTCTTTCATTTTCCTGCATGAGCGTGCATGCCGGTCAGAAACCTGGAAGACTAGTTGGCCACCGTGCATGAATGCACCAGAAACCGGAAGTTCATTTTCAGGCACGCGCATGCACCCTGGGCAGCTCCTCTTCCCGGATGCGACCCAGACAAGCGCGCACGGCACCAAGTTCTGAAAAGGTTCACCATCATTGCCATAAAGCATCGAGGGTTAGACTTTTGTCCTTATCATCTCTCTACCTGGAATGACAGCAGCATTTCAAAAGCTCACCCTATCCAGGAGTTCCAATATGCTTACACTGACAGGCTTCTCTTCATTTAGCAGTTCCTATAAAGGCAGAGGATAGAATGGATTCAGCTGAAGATGAAATTTGCCAATATCCTCCTTACCATATGCAGTAAACTACCATTTGTCTCTCCTCTTTCAGATCCTTGAGGAAGCTCTGAAGATCTGCAATTACATTTTCACAATCATCTTTGTCATGGAATCGGTTTTCAAGCTCGTAGCATTTGGGTTTCGTCGGTTCTTTCAAGATAGGTAATAATGATTCAGAATAACATTGCAAGGTGTTTTGTGTGTGTGTGTGTGTTTGTTTGCTTTTCCCCTTCAAAAAGTGCCATTCCTAATGTTTCCAGTTGCAACTCTTTCTGTTGTCTAACTATGTGGATGAAGATTGGTTATTGGGTGATTTTTAATGCTAATATGCTAATTAACAGAAAAAATAGTTAAATATATAAATAATATTTTCTCTTGTGACAGTTAAAAAAAAGAGAAAACCTTTTGGAAAAATAGGAACACCCAATAGTAATTTTCTGCCTTTTTCATTGTACCTCAAAATCTTTCTAAAGTGAATCCTCATTGTATTAGAATCAGTCTTGGTTTCTATATTAGAAAGTTCAATTTTACCTATCTATTTACCGTGTTTGGCAAATGGATTTATTTTCCTATTTTTTAATTAAGTCATTAGCAGTTAAAGGCCTAATCACTTAATAAAAAATAGGAAAGTAAATGGACAAAACTCAGAAAGATACCAGGTTTATTTCCTATTGAAACTATTGAAACTAGCGTAGTTAGCTGTGATATATAGAAGTATTTCCAGCTCCTTATATGGATATTTCATCTCTGCCCATTAAATTTAAATTATACAGAAGTACCTGAGAACATGGGTGCCCATTTTTCTCAATTTCTGCTTCCCTCTATGAAGAAGTAAGTGTTTTGCTAAACTCTTTATGGTAAAATCATATAATGCAGTAGTTGTCCCTAAACTCATGTCTTACTGGTGGATTTTGCTCCATCACATCTTCACATCTCATTTGCAGCAGTTGTAACTCTCTTACTACAGGTAGTCCTCAACCTTAAAAATGTTGGTCTAACAAAAGTTTGAAGTTACGACGTTGAAAAAGTGACAACTGATCCTTGCATTTATGACCATCCCAGTGTCCCCCTGGTCCCTGATCAAAATTTGGCCACTTGGCAACTGGCATGTATTTACAAAGGTTACAGCATCTAGGAGTCATGTGATCACCATTTGTAGCCTTCCCAGGAGCTTCGAACAATCAGAGTCATTGGGAAAAGCCAGATTTCCTTAACAATGGCATGAATTATTTAATGACTACATTGATTTGCTTAAGGACCCCAGCAAAAAAGTCATAAAATCAAGTGCAACTCACTTAATGACCATATTGAAGTTTTAATACCAATTGTGGTCATAAGTCAAGGACTACCTATAATGTGAACCAATCCTCTTCCCGTCACACTGATAATTTGGGTTGTCACTGTAGCCCTTATAAGCACCAGAAAAAAATGCTGGCTCCTCCCTTGTTGCTTCCTATAGCTTGTACCTTTATTCTTTTATGTTTTTAAAATGAGAAGTTCTCATGCTGCAATGCAAAATACCAGCCTCAGACACAATGTTTAGTTCCAAAAATGCATTTATCCTTGAGGTGCTCTTTTTAAAGAAATGAAAGGAGACTACAGCTTGGCATGCCTACCTATTTAGTAAAATGCCAAAGGCAAACTGAGGTGACAGCTACAATATGGGGAGATTAGAGGGGACAGTGAAGAGAAAACTCAGGAAAGATGGTCATGTTTGCCATGGTGGCCATTTTGTGCTCCTAACCTGAATTGTTAGAATCCTAACAATTCTAAATGTGCCCATGTGTGCCAAATGGGATCTAATTTGCTCATGAGCATGCAGAACAATCAGCTGTTAGTGCCACTGTCATATCTCCCCATTTGTTCAGCAGTCCCAAATAATGCATTCACTTATACAGCAGTAGCAGCAAAACAGAGACTTTCTCTGTACTAGTTATTTGTCATTATTTTAGTGAGCTGATTAAATTGTGAAAAACTCTCTCAGACACAGTCACACATATATAGACACAAAATGTGAATATATTGAATAAACCTGGATCATATAGAATTAATATGATACTTCTCCATCAAAAGCATCATGTTCTTCATTTGTACCTGAACCCCCTTCTTTGCCATATAAGCTTGAAGATCTTCCTTAAATACACCCCCCCCCCCAATAGCAATTAAACAAAGGGCAAATCTTTTTAAAAAGATATTTTGGACAAACTAAATTTAGTTGAATAAAATGTTTAGAGAAATGTAATTTAAGTAAAACATTTAAAGGAAATTAAGTTGACATTATCTTTTTATCCTTTCTGTTTTTCTGCAGATTAATTCATTTTTTGATTTCTCCATTCCAGGTACCAGTGTATTCAGACTTGACTAAATTGTATCCTAATAATACATATTTTGTTTAATTTGTTTCTTCTCAAAAACTGGTAAAGGTGGAGTGTCAGTTCATGAATGCATAAATGCCTGAAATGATTGGAATTCTTCGTCATATAACCCCCTCCTTCTGCTAACAAATAATTTAGCATTTTTTTCCATTTGATTTTTGTCTCACCTTCAGATGGAATCAATTGGACCTAGCAATTGTCCTCTTGTCCATCATGGGGATCACGCTGGAAGAGATTGAGGTGAATGCATCACTGCCCATCAACCCTACCATTATTCGCATTATGAGAGTCCTCAGGATTGCTCGAGGTCAGTCCCCCCCATTGTTTCTGGGGCTCTGCACCCATAAATCTTTTGGCCAAATAGGAACTGATCATTTCTGGCATACTAGAGTCTTCTACATAGCATGTATACAGCTTAAGCATCCATTACAAAGCTAATGCTAACCTTGGTCTGTTATTTTGCCTTATTAGTTGGGTAATAGCTAAGAGCCGTGGTGATGAGGTGGTTAGAGTGCAGTACTGCAGGCTAATTCTGCTGACTGATGACTGCCGGCAGTTTGGCAGTTCAAGTTTCACCAAATGCAGTGTTACTGCTATTGCTAATAACTCCATTATAGCCAACCAATTGTCTAGTAATAAATACTTATTTTGCATGGAAAAAGTGTCAGTTTGGTCTCTTGCATCCCTGGAACTAATTATGGGCTAGATGAATCAGTGATTTTTCTCAACAGAAGGAGCTTCCTTCATTTCTGTGTTCTCAAGGTGTCACCCAAAGTTCTCCCTTTCCCCCATTTTATGCACATAGTTAAACTGAGACAACCTGACCAACCCAAGATCACTGACCTATTCATGGCTGAGCAGGGATTTGTATCAGGGTCTTTCCAATCCTAGACTTAGCATATCTCCTCAGGTCTCTGTTGCAGCTGTGAACACATGATTGGGTGTCAGACATTATAAATAATAATGGATTAAAAAAGTAGTCCCAATTACTCTGATTAATTTCTGCCACTGTACTTCAGTGGTGTTATTTATTAATTATACATGGTGTTGTTTGCTCTAGGCAACAAAGTATTAAAGGAGTTTATTATGGAACAAGTGGAAGATCACAAGCTCACTATTGCTGTGTCCTAGATTTGGAATCAAAGAGTACAAACAACTTTGATTTCTTCCTCAGCCTTGGTGCCATTTAAATCTGTGAGCAAGTACTTGGCCTCTTAGCTCTTCAGATCAAAGATGAATTTTCAGAAACTGTAGATTAGATCAATGTCTGACCTTTGAAAACTGGTTCGGTTTGCTCAGTAGCTGTCAGGGGGGAAACCCCCCTTTGCATCCCTGTTATAATGTTGACATCACCTCAATTAATAAGTGAAAGAATTGGAACTTCATTCTTGGGACCTCTGTGCAGGACATAGTTTTTATACATTTTAGGCGCATGTTCCGATGACAGGATACGTTGCTAAAATCGAAGTCCAATACACTCAAAAGTTTTCTAGGCTGAAGAAGACTCCATAAAACATTGTCTTGCACGTTAGCTTTTAGTGGAGGATGTTAGGACATGATTCTTTGGGCAATTGTTGTGAATATTTAAATTTAAATTTCCTTTCCATGCATCATTATTTTGGCAATGACATCACAAACCTTTCATTTTTCTGTAGTGTTAAAATTGCTGAAGATGGCTGTAGGGATGAGAGCTCTTCTGGATACAGTCATGCAAGCACTGCCTCAGGTAACCGTTCGGTCTTATCATCCAGACTTCAGTTAAGTTCCCTTCACTGTCTAATTATCTTAGGAATTTAGATAATTCTGTACAAGTTTCCTATATTTGGGTCTTCTTGAAGGCTAGAACTTTGTTGTGGATTGGCTGAAATCAACTGCTTTCCCCCTGAATTCTTCAGCTAGTATTCTTTTTCTCGTATGTTTTTCAGTATAGTTTGCCTCCCGCTGAGTTTTGTTATCCATTTGCTAATCATCACAGATTTGGCCTTTTCAAGAAAATTGCATCAGATTTAATATTTATTTGTGAAGGAGGAGTAGCAGAACCTGGGGGTGGAGTTAAAGAGGGATCAGTTTAGAATACCTACGTAGTTAAATCTGCTTGCGGCTACATAGGGATTCTGGCCTGATCCCTCTTTTAACTCTGTCTCCACCCTCAGGTCCTGCCATTCCTTCTCCTAAAATTTGTGCCCATACATACATACCCCAAAGTAAATCAGTAACAATGCAGTGAGAAAAAAAGAAGAGCGAGGGATTTAGGATTGTGCCAATTCAAAAACCATCTATCTGTTTAAAATAATAAAAAGTAAGAAGCAACTTGCATTAATGAAATAGAGGGGATACGTTGGAGGAGGAAAATTCCATTATGTTTCTCCATCCATGAGCAAGAGCATTGTGTGTAAGTTAGTGACAATTCAAAAGAGAACGTTCCTTTCCCATGAAAAGATTCCAATCTCTAAAGCTAATTAGTTCAATTCTCATGACAACACTTGCTGTATTTTTGAGTATAATTCACACAAATTTAATGGTGTGAAATGAAACCTGTTTTGAAATTTAAAAACTTGAATAGAAATGAAAGTCTAAAAATGTAAGCACTCAGCTACTTTTTCTTTTCCTGATTTTTTTCTGATCTTCAGAGCAAAGATCAATTCCAAAGCTGAGAAATGCTCATTTTCCAGACCCTAAACAAGTCAGATATATTAATTCTCATAATTCCCAGACAGTGTGGCCATGTGGTGCAATGGTGGGATTCAATTTTTTTTACTACTGGTTCTGTGGGTATGGCTTGGTGGGCATGGCTTGGTGGGCGTCGCAGGGGAAAGATACTGCAAAATCCCCATTCCCACTTCACTCTAGGGGAAGGTTACTGCAAAATCCCCATTCCCTCCCGATCAGCTGGGACTCAGGAGGCAGAGAGTAGATTGGGGGGGGGGCAGTCAGTGGTGGTATTCAGTGGTTCTCCGAACTACTCAATATTTCCGCTACCTGTTCTCCAGAACTGGTTCAGAACCTGCTGAATGCCACCTCTGGGGTGGTGTCATAGTCCAATGCATCTGAAAAGCACCAGGTGCTTTCTTGTCAGTGCTATATAATTGGCCAGGGAGTAATCTGATATTGTGCTTATGCACCATGCATTATGCACAACATTCCAAAGCTACAACTCTTGATGGAGCAGAAACATATGCTTTTTCAAGCATTTTTCTTTTTCTTTTTTAACTGGAGCAAGTTATAGTCAGTGGACTAGTCGCTTGACATTTTAAACTGGTTTATTTATTCAGCTGGGCATTTGGGGATCAAGAAAAGCTTTCAGAAACATTTTTCTCAATGCAAGTCCTTCTCTCGTGACCAACATCATCTAAATTTAAAGTATGTGTATTTATTCACACACATAAGAAATCATAGTATTAGACTAGTGACCAGATGAGATTTAGTAAAGCTAAAGAAGGAAAGGAGATATATTCAGTTGCAGGAACTTAATAATGTTCAAATATTGATGAATTACAGTTCCCGGCATCCCTCACTGTGGGCCATATTTACTGACAAAACTAATTCAGCAGGATCTGGAAAATGGCATGTCCCCACCTTTGGGAGACTAATATAGCATGTACATTTCTCATTGTGAGAGTTCCTTGGTGATGTATAACTTCAATGAGTATTTTTCCCCTTCGTTTCTTATCTCTTTGCAGGTGGGGAATCTAGGTCTCCTCTTCATGTTGTTGTTTTTCATATTTGCAGCTCTTGGAGTGGAGCTGTTTGGGGATCTTGGTAAGTTCTCTGCACCCCCTAAACTATAGAATTGTTTGTGGTAACAAAAAAACCCCTTTATAACTAAATTCTCTTTATATTTTTTTATTGCACATATAGAATGTGATGACACTCATCCTTGCGAGGGTTTAGGGAGGCATGCAACATTTCGCAACTTTGGAATGGCTTTCCTCACACTCTTCCGTGTATCCACAGGAGACAATTGGAATGGGATAATGAAGGTAAAATTGCCATCAGGAAAAAAAAATGAGTACAAAAACACAATATACATTTTCAGTCTCTTGAAAAGACTGACACAATTACTGTTTTGAATATTTTCATTCTCTGAATTTTAAGTTAGATACTACGGCATATACAAGTGAATAACAAATTATATATACCGGTACTTATCCAAATTATTTCTTCTAATTTTTGCAACAATAGGTATCATTCCTCCCCCACCTCCAAACCCCAATTCTTAATTAAGCTTTCCCTTTTTCTGCATTATTCATGGAATAGACCTTAGCCAATCAGGGATCATATTGTGATTGTGACATTATCAAGATCATGGAGAGGCAACCCACAGAACCATATAGCCCTCACTGGCATTTGCAGCTTTCAGAATCCTTTTGTAATTTGCAACTGGGGTTTGGCATCATGGCTTGTTTGTTTTGAAACTTTTAACATTTCCTAATGTTAAAAGACTCTTGGCTATACACAATGTCATTTTGTACCAACCTACTATTTTAGTTCAGTTAAAGTAAGACCACCAAAAAGTTGTCCAGAACTGATCGAAAGGGACAGGCTGAATATGAGTAAAACCAGAGTAATTAGTTTCTGAGTTAGGTAAATGTTTTCAAACAATGCCAATGACCAAATTCAGCACATTGTTGATGTTATTGGCATTTCCCAGGCTTTAATCACCCCTACCAATGCTCTGGTGGGTTAGGTCTAGTCAGTTGGAATCATGAAATCTTTCTGTCTTGGCCAAAGCAAGAAAGCAGCCATTGCAAATACACTGCATTATCTATGTATGTCAGAATGTTATGCAGTCCTGAATGTATTGTGCCTGTGGGGGGAAGTTAGCCTTTTCAAAGATTTCATCCAGCGTATGAAAAATAAGAGATTCTAGAAGAGTAGAAGGATCTTTCAATGGTCAAGTTCCTAAAATTCTATAGAAACTGATCAGCATGGAGGACACTCATTCCCCATCTTCCACATGGAGTCTGGCCATATAGACTTGAAGTTAGAATTTGAGTGGCATAAACTGCCAATTCCTGAAGTTCTCAGCCACAACCATTTCCACTTCACTTCCCTCTGTTCCCTCCCAGGACACATTGCGGGACTGCGATGAGGAATCCACCTGTTACAACACCGTCATCTCGCCTATCTACTTCGTCTCTTTTGTGCTGACAGCCCAGTTTGTCCTGGTGAATGTGGTGATTGCTGTCCTGATGAAGCACCTGGAGGAGAGTAACAAGGAAGCTAAAGAAGAAGCAGAACTGGAGCTGGAGTTGGAAATGGAAATGAAGACAATTACACCGGGTGTGCAGCCCCCTTCTGACTCTTTCATGTGGACAAGCGGTAACACAGGAGAATGGCCTGAGAGTCCTGGAGGATACGCCAACCCCATGCAAATCAAAGTGAATTCTCAGCTGTCCGTGGTTCATCCTATGGTGAGAAACTCAGGTGGTGGGTGAAGTGAGGAGTGGGCTTCACTTGTCTCCAGCAACATACTATATACACTCAAATCTAAATTTGAGTGGTTCCAATGATTTATCAGGGAGTTGTATTCCTTTTTCTCCGTAAAATTCCAGAGTGTCTAGAAAAAGCAGGCCAAATATATTAGATGTTCATGCAAAGTTATTAATCGGTTGCAAAGGGTGTTCTGCAACCCCTTAACCACTCATTTATAACAGAGGCTCTGAGATCCCAGACACAGCTTTCATTACTGGCAATGCTGGAGGAAGAGGCCAGTAAGGTTTTTTCTCAAAGGTCCCTTTGCAATTCAAAGGCTGCTCAATGGAATCATGCATCTATGTAGTAGGTGAGAGATCAGGCACCTGTATGGAAGGGTGCCTGCTGACTGTTGCATCTGTATGTCTGGTATGCATTTTCATTGTTCAAGTAGGTGTCTGAGTTTTACCATTACAGAGTAATATTCAGTTTCATTGTTTAAAACTTCCAGCCACACTTCACATGAGTGTAGTACCAACAGTCACCAACAAGTCCATGTCAGTAGAGTGGGGGAATCTCCTATTTCATATATGGAGATTGCCTTTCCTCCTCATTAATCGATCATAATCTCCTTACCTGCCGAAATATTGCTTCTTGCAAACTGCTGTAATATTTTCGTTCATTATTCAAATGGGTTGTTAACTCTGTCTGACCAAATCTAGGTTAAAATTTCTCAAAACTCTCTAAAATTCTTTTTCCTGATAAAAGCCTATCACAGAAGGAAAGGTGTCTCTTGATTTAGAAGAAAAAATACTTTTGCAAATAATATTTGCCCGTATTATTATGCTGATTATATCTTTAAACTCTTGAGTGTCATTTCAATGGCTAATGAAAATACTCTTTCTCCTTGCCAGGGTCCCTTTAATTAAAATCTCTGCATTCCAAGAAATGGTTGATGAAAGAGGAATACAGTTCCTATATTATTATAACCCTGCAGAGTCATGTGCTCAGCATGCTTCCTTGCTTGCATGTTCCATAAACTATATGCATTGTTGTATTAGGTTATAGCTGTGGGAACTCATGGCATCATACACATTGGCTGTTTCCTGCATAGAAAGTAATACTGATGTTAAGTTATTACTCCTCTTGTTACTGCAGAAGCTTTACACTGTATATTAATCTAAACATCTGAGACATTTCTGAAACTAGGAGCCTGGCAAATGGAAATTAAGAATCATATTTTTTTTCAATGATTCTTTGGCTTTCAGAATCCTGTGCACAATACAAGCACAATATTTTAAGGTTTCAGTTATTAGAAAATAAATCTCTCTGGATTTAAAGCAAGCATGCATAGGATGACAACTCTTAATTATAAACTCTTAATTATTTCAGTAACCTCAAATTAAATCCTTATCATGGAAAGTCACAGGGAACTCAGCGATGCTGTGTATATAATTTAAACCAGAGCATTTGGATTTCAAATGGATTAGACTCTTTGACTTTTGACAGTTCACTAGATGATGACATAAAGCTCTGCCATTTGAGAGACTTTGAGTTCTGATTGTAGCATGTGCTTTGTGGACAGAACTACTTTGAAACCATTCAAAAGGCAGCCATTGTTCTTTAGCCATCTTAATTATGAGATGCATGAAGGCTGAGTATATCCACTTCTACAAAACAATTGTAAAACATTACTGGACATAACAGTCCTTTTCAGAGCTTCCACAGATAGCTAAACTGAAGTTCCCATGAGCCCTGTCTGTACTACAGGTAGTCCTCAACTTACAACAGTTCATTTAGTGACTGTTCAAAGTTACAACAGCACTGAAAAAGTGACTTGTAACCATTTCTTAGACATGACAGTTGCAACTTCCGCATGGTCACATGATTTTCATTTGGACGCTTGACAACTGATTCACATTTACGACAGTTGCAGAGTCCCAGAGTCATATAATCCCCTTTTGCGACCTTCTGACAAGTCAAGTCAATGGGAAAACCAGATTCACTTAACAATTGTGTTATTATTTAAGAACTGCAATGATTCACTTAACAAATGTGGCAAGAAAAGTTGTAAAATGGGACAAAACTCACTTAACCAATTTTTCACTTAACAAAATAAATTTTGGATTCAATTGTGGCCGTAAGTTGAGAACTACCTGTATTATGTGACTATAGTAAATAAGACTCTTCTCAATATTTCCAAGTAGTTTTTCTCTCTCTTTAAAAAAATGAACCAATGAAATGTAGTTCTGATAACTAATACTAATATTCCCCATTTATATTTTCTCTTTCTAAAATTCCCTCCCACCTCTTCTGGACTAGAGCCATATAAACTCCCCAATCCCTTGTTTTTCTCAGCATCATCACACACTTGTTACACAAAGGTGATTCATTTGGCTGCATTTTGAGCAGGAAGTCCTGTTGCCAATGACTTTTTAGGTCTTTTATTTGAAAAATTCCTCCCATGGCCGCAGTTCCTAGTCTAACGTTGAACTTCAAATGCTTTGGAAGTATTGTACCAGATGAGGTGAAAAGGAAAGCCTATACAGAGTTCTTGTAAACCACCCTTCAGTTGGAACTAAAATAACAGATTGCCACCAAACTAGAAAACATCTGTAATTTAGATTTTGAAACCAACTTGATGTCTCTTTTTGCATTCTGCATTACTCAAATGTCAGCCAGATTCAGGTAAGTTTTCCCCATATCTACATCTGGGAATGGGATTAAAAGCAGGATTTCACCGGGCCGTATAGGAGATTTATTTGCCAGTATTTCAAGATAATTATTCCTGGCTCAAGAATATAGGCAAGGACATAAGCAAGAATAGCCCACTGTTGCAACAACTGAATATAGAGCACTTATTTTCCAAGAGGAAGCATTTACATGCCTGCACCAGCAGATAGTGGTTGTGGAAAACCAGTGTTTGTTCAATCTCTTCCTGTTTTCAAAAGTTTGCCTTACATTCATTCTTCAGAGACTAAGTCAAGGGTCTGATTTTTAGAGATTGAGAGCACTTAGGTCACAGATATGGCAAGCCACCAGCACCTCTGAAAACCATGTTACTCTCAAGTGGTTACAGTGATGCTATTGCGTGATGCCAACGCTTCGTGCTGGCTTCCATTCTCACCTCCATTTGAAATCGTGCATATTTGTTGTTTATTTCTGCTGCACTTGTCCCTTGTCATGTTGGTATGATAGCCCTGCAAAACAGCCATACTTCTGCCAATCGGTAAATAGGTGCCAGTCGCTGCTCTGGATGAATGTAATGTGTCCCACTGGCCTTACTGTGTGTTTAGTTTCAGTCTTGTGTGTAGAAATGTCTTAGAAAAGTTCTGACTATGGTATTATTGCACTGTTGTTTTTCCCTTCTCTGTCCCTGTCTTTTCTTCCTGGCCATTTCAACAACTACTGTTCTGTCTGAAAACATTTTTTTCTGTCTCTCTTTTCTTCCTCCTTCTGTCTCTTCCATGGTCTCTTTTGCTTTCTCTCTTTCTCGATTCTCCCCCAACCCTCCTTTTCTCTCCCCTCCCTCCATTCCTCTCTCTTTGGCCTGGCCTATTCTTCTGCATGCTATTTGGCACTCCTCCCAGGAAAGACACTTGTTTGATACCATATCACTGCTGATCCAGGAATCTCTGGAAGGAGAGTTGAAGCTGATGGACAACCTGTCAGGCTCTGTATGCCATCATTATGCCCTTCCAACTACTGACACTTACAACCCTGAGAAACAGGTTAATATTATCAATTTCCAAAAGGGTTTCTTATTTGATATCAAATAGAGTTAGCTAAGAATGCCATCCGGTATGCATGCACCTGTAAGTTTCTCCCATTCAATTCAGCATTGCTTATTTCTTAGTAAACCTTCTAAGGATTGTGCTGTCAAATCAAAGCTGTGGGCAAATGGATTTCTTCTTGTTGAAAATAGGCATTATTTTCAACCCGGTCTTATTAGCGTTCAGTCATAAGCCTTGCTGAATTCAGGAGGATTTAATTCCATTACTATGGAAGTGTAACCATAACTAAACGCAAGCAAAGGATTTAATAAATGAAAAAAACCATGCCAAAGTTTTCTTTCTGCATGTCTTGGATCCTTTATTTGATTTGCAATGTGAAAAAATACGAAATGCCATGCGTGGCTTTTTCTCTCTTTTTGCAGTGGGCAAAACAATTTCTGCATAACAGTCCAGAAGGGGAAGATGGTTTCATCTTACCGGTACTTTGGAGGGTGGATTCTTCAGTTTAATTGTAGTTATTATTATTTTTTAAATGCATGTACACATAGGACCAGTGTTTGACCATTTGTTTCTATCTTTAGAAAATGATCATCAGACAAAGCTATGGAATTTAAACTTAAGAGGCAGATTCTTCTTCCTCCCCTGCTCTTAAACAAAATTGGAAAGGAATTCCACATATACCTCTGAAACGTTTTCTTGGTTCCCCTTTAAATTTTCCCTCCTAGAGTAGAACCTCTGGTCACGAATGCTTCTGACCACGACCAAATCAAGTTTCGACCAAAAAAATCAACCTTTTTTTTTTCACAGCCGATTTTCCCTTCTGCACCATTTTTTTTTTGTAAGTGCCAAATATCCAAAATTAGGTTCGGGTGTATTTTCATGAACATGGCAATTTAAAGGGGGGAAATCAGCACTACCATACAGTGTCTGGAGGTTAAAATCCAATGAAAAGCAATTTCCTATAAAATAAACTAGTCTGGAATTGACCTGACAGCTTCTCTATAACTGTAGGGATAATGTGTTGATTTTTCAATTCATCTGTATGAAACCTAAGCTGAAAGTTGTAGGCTGTGTTCCATGTCAACAAATGAAGAACTGGCCTGCTTGTAACTGGAGATCCAGATAAGTGGGGATGGCCAAGAAAATGTATTAGAGATTCTTGGCACTTTGTTCAGTACATTCACTGGGACAAAGGGGCTGATGTAACTTAACATTTCAAATATTAAATTAATATTTAATTTTGGTATCAAAAGGAAGCTTCTTTTCTTTCTCCTTTCAAATCCAATTCTGACTGAGCTAAAATAATCTAATAACAGTAAAGCAATAACATCCTGTTAAAATACAGTGGAGCAAATACATACAAAATACATAGAGACTGAAACTTTACAAAATTGCTGTAAGCTTGGTTTCTTCATTCAACAAGCTTTGGGGAAGCCTTTGTAGCAATATACTAGAATCTGATAAGGTTCAATGTGCTTGTCTGAAGTGCTCCACCTGTAATCTTTTCCCACTGTTTTTCCCACTAACCCAGTTTCTTGATTACAGATTTTGAAACTGCAACATTTGCAGACAATTCTTTGCAAACCCAATTGTCATGATAAATATATTCTTTTTTAAAAAAAACATTCTTATTTCATATGCATTTATATCTGTTATGTTATGTAAGACCACCAACAAATTTTCTCAGAGGAGCGGGGACAGGCATATGATACTTAAATTTCCTTTCTGGTAGCCCTTAGAACCAGGGGTGGGTTGCTGCTGGCATTATTGCCGGATTGCTTCATGCGTACCTTGTATGCGCACCTACCGGGCATTGTTTGCACATGCACAGTTGCCTGTAAATTGTTCTGCACATGTGCAGAACATTATAAAATGCCTAAACAATATGCCAGCAATGGCATGGGCAACTAGGGAACTGGTTCGGGGGGATGGCCAGCCTGCTGTCCCTACCGGTTCTGCGACCCAGTCCCAATTTCCATTACCGGTTCACCCGAACCAGTGCAAACTGGTAGCAACCCACCTCTGCTTAGAACTCTCCTTGATCATAAATGTTGAAAACAAATAGCACAAATTCTAATGATTTCCAATCATTTTTGAGATTTTTTTTCAAAAAAGATCATCAAAACTCTGAAATAGAATGATCACATTTAAATGCCAGCCCTCTCCTATAATTTCTCCCTACCTTCCATGTGTGAGCCACCAGCTGAGAACATGTATTTATTTTATTCATATCATTATTCCTGTAAAGAGATTTAGTTTGCTTAATGAAACATAATCTGCCAGTAAGATTTCCTAGTAGTTCTGATTAAGGATACCTTAGTATATTAATTATAGTTTGATTGATCATTGAATTAAATTTGCAGATGGATAAGGATAAAACTCCTGAAGCAAGTCTTAGATTTTCCCTTAAATGATGCATACAGATATCCTAAAAGATATAATCACAGAAGAGTACTTGTTTCCTAGTGAGAAAAAAACTTTTCTTTATCAACTCCCAATTACTGAAATCAATTAATTTAAATGATTAAATTAAACATGAGTTAAGATTTCTTTTCTTCTCATTCAATCATGTCCAATTCTCAAAGACTGCTTAGACAAATCCCTGCAGTTTTCTTGGCAATATTTTTCAAAAGTGATTCCTTCAGCTTCCTTCCAAGAGCTGAGAAAAAATAACTAGCCCAAGATCACCTAGCTTGTTTGTTCCTAAGGCAACAGTACAACTTACAGTCTCCAGGTTTCTAGCCTGGTGCCTTAATCCTACGCCAAACTGGCTCTCTAAAGTTCTTACTAGAAGCCTTTTCAAAGTTTGTCAGCTCACTAAATAGCAGAAAATTTATCAGGAGGAAAACAATCGGACCCACATGTCAAAGTGCCTATTTCACAGAAATCCTCCCAAACTGGTAGTTTGCACCTGGGGCAGACTAGATAAGGTTCAATGGTATTCAAGGTAAAACTTGTCCTCTTATGTCTGGGAAAAGATTCCAGGCTAAATCCTCATTTGACTCCTCCTCCTGGTTTGGCCACTCCCTCTCCAACAAAATTATAACATTTTTTCATTCTGATGATAAGGCAAAGTTATTGTGATGCAGCAATTTATATGATCCCAGCTCCATTTATCTGTGCTAGTAGATTGACATTCACTGTAGAGCAGGGGTGTCAAATTTAAGGTTTGTGGGCCAGATATGGCCCATGGGGTGCTTAGATCTGGCCTGTGGGCCATCCTGGAAACAGCAAAGGGCCGTCCTGTGGTGCCTCTGCCAGCAAAAACATCGCTCGGGAGGGCCACACGTGCCCCACCAGCTCTGTTTTAACTGGCAGAGCGCTGCAGAAGGCCATCCTGGCTGAAAACAGGACCCGGAGGGCCTCATGTGCTCCCCCCCCCCAAGCTCCATTTTTGCTAGCAGAGGGTCACACCCACCCCATCCTGGCTACGCCCATCTGGCCCTCCAAGGTCAAACACAACCCCGATGCGGCCCTCAATGAAATTGAGTTTGACACCCCTGCTGTAGAGAAAAGATATAATAGTTCAAGGGAAATTTTCTCTGAAATATACTCATGAAATCAATTTTCATTTTTATCAGCTGAAGTAATAAGTAATAATATCAGTCTGGAAGCTTCATTTCCAAGAATAATTTAAGATGTCAGCCACCCAAACAGACCAGAGAGGAAAGATAACAAGATGAGCTAACTCTATTTTATTGTAAGGCTACAATAACAGAACCTTGCAAGTCCAAATGTACAGCTCTTCCACCATTACTTTTTACTGCCTGATAAATTAGGCAAATCCTTTCTTCCTTTTCTGCCCTTTATTCAGCTGCAGCCCCCACCCCTCTTTTTGTGATTGTTCTTTAGGCAGCATCTCCTTCCCTCATCTCCCAAGGTCATTCTCATATACCTTTATATCTAGCTACTTTCCATGGGCCAGAGGGGAGTTGAGAGGAAAATTTCAAGATAGCTTCTCTTCTGTCCATTTCCAAAATGTTTGTCCTGTGACAGTGAAGAATTATTATTTTAATTTTTATTGATGATAGCATGATAATCTGTCTTCTTCAAATTGATGTATTTAGTTCTCAATATCAGGACCATTTACTACCAAATCAGAATTTGTGGGAAATCCTTCATAAATTTTATAATTTTGAGTTAACAATTCTATTCTTAGACTCCAAATCCTCCTTACAGCAATTATTACTGAGTGAAATTCAGCAACTTTCTTACATATTTCAGGCAAATGGGAAATTAACAGGAAACAAAGATTTTCTTCCATTCGGTCAATCCAATCAGCCAGTTTACATCTGTATTAATATAGAGAACCAAAATTGATACCTGGAACAGTACAAGACATGCAGAATTCATACTATGGAATTTTTTTTTTCAAATAGGGATACAGACAGTCTTAGAGAAGGATATTATTGTACCTGCAGTCCAGAATTGTGGATTACATGGCATAAAGTATAGCTTGTAAAAAAGCTATTGTGTACTAAACAGACAAAATATTAGTAAAGCAATTAACTAGCTTAAACAATCTCCTGCACAGACGGTGCTTATAATAGCAATAGCAATAGCAATAGCAGTTAGACTTATATACCGCTTCATAGGGCTTTCAGCCCTCTCTAAGCGGTTTACAGAGTCAGCATATTGCCCCCAACAACAATCCGGGTCCTCATTTTACCCACATTGGAAGGATGGAAGGCTGAGTCAACCTTGAGCCGGTGAGATTTGAACAGCCGAACTGCAGAACTGCAGTCAGCTGAAGTAGCCTGCAGTGCTGCACTCTAACCACTGCGCCACCTCGGCTCCCACTGTACTTTAGTACAGTGCTAAAATTCTATGCCTCTGTAGATTAGTTTCAAGTGCACAAGCTTATTTTTGATGTCATTCTGCTCTATCTTTGTTGAATTAAAAAAATGAAGTAAAAAGCCACAGTAATATAACTCTATTTTTCCAAGGGGAAATGAACTTGCCCATAAAAATTAAGGGTGCATAAGAGTCTTCTATGC